CTTAAATTGTTGTGTGGCGGCTTTAGACGCCGCCTATTATCACCGGCTGGCTGTGGCAGTCTCTTTGGACGAGAGTCGCCAAGGAGAGTGTCGCACTTGTCGTAAATGTTTGACAGTTTACAGTTACGTAAATGGTCATGTCAGGATTGCAAATTGTTTGCCCGGTTTGATAAAAAGCATTTTGTAAAAACCACGAAACTTTATAATTATATCGCCATTCACGAAGTTCACGAGGCCGTTTTATTGTTCGTTAGGGGAGCAATAAATTCCCCAAAGTTGCAAGCAAATTAGGCAGTACTGCAATGACGTTATAATTTAAATTAAATGTTTTAGTTTTTTATATTTCGTTACATGTCACTACGTTTGTATAGGTTAACTTCGGACATTTTTTCGTGGTTTTTGTATTAGACCCGACGTCCATTTGTTGGTAGGTCAATGGTCTTGTGCTTTAAAATTTTGTAAACATAATTTATTTTCTTTTCTCTTGACTTTAGAATAGGCAGTTTAATCTATCTGTCAGTCAAACCAATCCTGCATTGTATGTCAGCGTCAGTCAAAGACAAGTCAGATTCGCTCTGGACCTTTTGGAGGGAAAAGTGTCGTTTTTATTTTGACTTTCAATTATTTTGTGAAATCTAGTTTAAAGTGGAATAGGATAGTGCTATTGTGCCTTAATCGAAGATTAAAACGCGAAATTATACGAATCTCGAACTAAAATACCCGTATCGGCCAGTTCTAAGGAATCCCGAGTCAATCCAAGCACGCCGCCTCAAATTGCCTATCCTCTTTGTGGCGGCCATATTTACAGAAACATAATTCTACTTCATGTACCAAAAAAGAATAATGTACCAAGACTTGGCTGTATGGTGTAAAACCTTTGCCTTTTCCTTTATGGAAAGAAAAAAAAATAAAAAAAAAAACAAAGACAAGTCAAAGAGTACCTTGTTACAAACGTCAGTCAAATGTAATCTGGTGAGAGGTAGTGAAGGTTCAGTTTTTTTTTATAATAAATTTATTTACGCTGAATAAGTACTATGTCCCACGAAAACAATCTAGACTTGCATCATGTGCAACAGAGCTTCCACCGGAGCTTGAAAGAAGAGGATGATGTTGTTATAGAGGCTTATATCGACGGTTACAATGAGCTAGTGAAGTGAGTGATCATATTATTTTGTATGCTAAATGTTGATTTCCTTTTTATTTTCGCTAATTTGCTAATCATTTTAGGTTTCTAAATCTTATCGGAACGGTGTTCTCATTCGTTAGTAGCGATGTGAAGAGTAAAATTAAAGTTATGGATAAACACAAAGAAGGCGAAAATTCGATATATTACGATTCGTTCAAGAAAATGATGAAGTATGAAAAAGAGTCGAACCTTTACGAGAAGAACGGTTTTGTTTCTGGTTCAAGAACTATGCTTAGATTACATAGAGGACTTGGTATGTACAAGAAATACTTTATGTATTTTTATACTTATTTTATTTATTATGTACCTCTTCTCTATACCTCTTGCTAAAAGCTAAAATGGGACAAGCACTGCATGTTAATTAGTAATACACACAGAGTCGATAATACCTCCCTCTGAAATCATAGTGTGATTAAAAATAAACAGCAAGCCATCAAAACAAAATAGATATATTTTTAATCACAATTATAAAATTTCTTCAAATTTTTTTGTGGTGCTAGGGCTACTGTGCCTGTCACTCTGGAACAGAAGTTGAAAGTCCCATGTGCCTGTAATTTCACTAGCACCCCTTACCAGTCCAGTACCAAAACTGGTAAGCAGTAATGTGGAAATATGAAAGGTGGCAGTACTTCCCTGGACAAACTCTTTCACAAGAAGCTCTACAATCTACAACTACAAAAAATATATTGAGTATATTTGTTTTTTCAAGCAAAGTAATATTTAGGACTCCTTACAGATTCTGTGGTCAGTCAATGGCTTCAGTCAATGGTAATTGCAAAACATAAAAACCCAAAATTTAATTGCTTGTTACACATCAAAAATATAAAACATAATACATTACAATAATAAAATTGTGGGAGTTCTAAGGGAGGTATTATTCACTCTACATGCATTACTTCCTTGAACTTTAGGTACATATGCTCTACTAGAGTTCTGTTTATAAGGTTTAATAGAAACTCATTCTGTTTTGTAGTAAATAAAACTATTCTTCGCATATATTTGTTTTTTCAAACAAACCAAAATTTTGGGCCCTTTACAGGTTCCATGTTTACAGTCAATGTTCACAGTCAGGTTCCATGACAACCGTGTGCAATTTAAATCCAGAAAAATAGTTTCATTTAGATGTGTAACAATCGCAAAAGCCTAAGAACTCAATATCATTCTATTTTGGACTGGGTCTTGTGGGTAATGCCCCAGAATAAATTCCATTGCTCTGGTGCTCGTAGTACATTGAAACTGGTTAAACTTGTGTTGTTGCCTGGCACATTATTATTATTTTAAGTTAGAAGGAAAACAAGTAACTGTGATTCACAGAAATTACCTATGACAGGTTTCTGTGTTCTAATTTTTTTTCTATGTGGTCAGAGGTCTGTTCATATTTTTTACCTACACTGAGCAAGTCTTCTTATTGTGTTGATGTCATGTACTGTAATGCTTGCCGTCGTGGTGAAAGAATTTACAGTCTGTGTAAGGTACCCACCGAATGTTTTCCAAGGTGTCCCAGATGTAGAATAGAATGGTATGTTGTGTGTGGAGGCCTCTTTCGTACACCCCTGAGCAAGTAATGAAAAATTATATTGTTATACGGTTGTCAAAACAAAAGAAAAACTCATTGTCAATAAATGGAACCTTAAATATATTATTAACTGCCTCTGTGGCCAAACGGTTACCATGCCGGACTGCCACGCAGAGGTCCCACGTTTGATTCCCGGGCCGGGAGAAATATTTGTATGGCCTACATTTATTTATCTCGTGAGTTTGGGTGTAATTTGTGGGTCTATGTGTGTGTCCATAGCACCCACGACACGGGTTTCCCTAGTGCAGGGCTACGTTGATTGTGTGTGTTATTATCATTATTATTATTTGTTTTGACAAAATGAAATGGACTTAATTTTTAGAAATGAGACTATTTCTTTCAGATCTAAATAGAGTATATTTAAATAAAAGTAAATATTAGACAACATCATATATGTTGCGCTGAACCTAAAGTAAGTAGCTAAAGCATTTGTGTTATGGAAATTGGAAACACCAATGTTACCACAAACACCCAGACCTGAGACAATATAGAAAAGTTGGTTTTCTATACTGACTCGGCCACCCGGGACCTCTGAGAAGGCGACACTAATGAAATCAGTGTGCAAGCCAGTTGACTACGGAAGCTGTCATGTTTCTTCAAACAAATCAATGTATTGGGTTCTTTGCAGGTCCCAGGATTAGTCAATTACCCGAGACCCTGGGGCCTGTATAGGATACAAAATGTCTGTTTGTTAGAAAAAACAAATACATGTATTCTATTTAGATCCAAACAATATTATTTTTGTTTTTAATGTGTTGCAATCGTGAAAACCTGAGACATCAATAGCCTTAATAATTTTTTTAGATTTCATCCGACTATTCCTGAAACGATTAAGCGAGGCAGATGACTCTGTAAACACATGTGCAATATGTCAGAGTGCGTACACTGAGACGTTGGCTGAATTCCATCCGTGGTACATCAGAAAAGCGGCTACATTGGCCATGCACACGCTGCCAACTAGACCTGATTTGCTTAAAAAGGTTGGTATTTTCTTTATTTACCATATTTGCTTAGAAATTATGCATGAAAAGTTCTTAACAATGTTGATGTTTGGTTTAAGATATAAAAATTATTAACACATAGTGCACCATTTTAGTCAAATGCTAATTAGCCAGTGAGCGTGATAATTTGAATACTAATATTCAATGAAAAACATAAGGTAAAGGGGATTCTCTGACCATAGGTCAAAGATAACACTAACATGACTACCATAAAATAACCTAACCTCTGGTTAAAAAACTGACCTAAAAAGTCATTCATCCCCTACTTTGCCACCCTTAGGGTTGTTCTGGTAGAAACGTATGTGAAGCGTATCGAAATCCCCGAATGAACTCTGTATAAAAATAGTTCTTTACGTGTTTTTCAACACATTATCTTAAAATGTAACCTAATATTTTTTTTACTGATAACAAGTTTATTTGCGATGTTAAACAGGTGTAAATAGATGAATTCGTTAGATAATAATAATTTAAAATGACGTAGAAAGGAAATAATTAGTCACGTTCCGTTATTAAACTGTGATTCAAGTTTTTCGAATTAAATTTAATTGCGCTCGAAAAGTTTCATCTATACACATATAGATACATACACATATATGACATATAGATTTATGTATTGAAGAAATTAAGTAAGCCTTAAGGTGGCCAAGTCAATAACACCTTTAACCGACCGACGTGTATGAAGCATTGTGATGCGTGTTAATGAGGCGAAAGATAAGTGCCAGGACTGTAGCAAGTTGAAGGCTGTGCGTCTCTGTCTACCCCGATAGTAAAATGGAAGCGTATGTATGAATTAATAGACATTTTTTTTAAAGAAATACATTTATATAATATTTTGTTACGTGCATATGTAAAGAAATAGATGAAGAAAATCATCGTAATTTAAAAAAAAATATATAATGGTCTAATTAGATGACCTCGGTGGCCCAACCTGGGCGTTGGAAGGTCTCGGGTTCGATTCCCTTTTTCGATTCGTATCTGAACGTACGAGTGTATTTGTAGGTGAGAATTAGGCCAATGGTGAGAAATAAGGACCTAGTTTACAGACACTACTTTAGTCTTCACATTAGACGCTCTAGTAGTAAGGCTACAGTGTCGCGGCAGCCGCTTTCCTACTAATTTTCGTTCAAAATCTAGTCTGCAAGAACGGCGCGGCTGGCGCGTTTCTCTGGGCGTTAAATTTGAGGAAATCATGCAATGGTTTTTTTTATAACATCAAGTGACGGGGCGAACAAGTCGTGTCTGATGTTAAGCTACACACCTGTCCATAACAGTTACAGTGCCACTCAGAACTTTAAATTGCAAAGATCTGAGTGGCACTACCACTGCGCCTGTCACTCTGAGACATAAGTTGACAAGTCTCATATGCCTGTAATTTCACCAGTACCCTTAAAAACCGGAACACAGTAATGCTGACATTACTGCTTGGCGGCAGAAATAGGTAAGGTAGGTAGTACCTGATGAAGATTGATCGTGTCCGTAAAATAGTTGCCAACTCTTCGTTCGATACAGTTCCAAGGCCACGTATTGATTAAACTTTGTCAAGTGCAATTATTGAAGAGCTGTCGTTATTGGTATTATTATGGGTTTTTAAACACTGGAGTGACGCGTAAATGTGTCCTATCTAGGCGCATGAAGGTGGTAATTGGAATGATATGTTTCCCTCTTTCTAACGTATATTATAGTTTGTTTTTGTACTAACAATTACATAAAATGTTTGACGTATGCAGTATTATTTTTTTAAAGCATTCAACAAGTTTAAATTGTGAAAAAAAATTAGATTTAAAATATGGCCAATTCTGAATAACATACTTTTAGTTACATTGTTACCAACATAAATCATTAAAAATATGATTATTATTATCTTTAAATGTGTTTAAATTTTTATTGAATTGATATTCAATTATTTTTTCAATTAATACAAAGATCCGGCTGGATTCGAACCGACGTCTTCTAGCATACCGTGACAGACGCTATACCAACTAAGCCACGGAACGAACCAGCGGACCTCACGAATTTTTCTGTGTTTGTTGTCGTGTCGTCTATTTGGTTTTTCAACGACTTTTTTTAGCTGTGTTTAAATGTGTTTTTAACTTCTAAAAAAATGTAAGTAATTGAAAATCGACGTACGTGAGTATGTCCTATAACCTCTTCTAAACTTCACATGAATAATAATGTCAGTACAGAGTACTAAAAAACCTGACCTCAAAAGTCATTCATCCTCTAGTTTGCCACCTTAAGAGGTGGAATATACTTTAAATGGGGCCACTACAGTACCAAGTACTACAGTACCAGTTTCCAACAAAGAAAGCATCATCAAAATAGGTTCACAAATACCGGAGTTATCGCGTAACATGCATAAAAGAAATAAAAGAAACACGAGTCGAATTGAGAACCTCCTCCTTTTTTTTAAGTCGGTTAAAAACGAGTTCATCCAATGTTGCGGGGACTCGAAATACAATACAAATAACTAGGTTATAACAGCTATGTAGTCGAATAGAGACATAATGCAAGAAAATCATTTAAAAAGTCGTAGATATAATTCAATTTCGCTTAAAAAATATTGATTTTTAGTTTTTGATTATGACAGAGATGTTTACATTTACAATATGACTGTAAATAAAATATTATTCTTTTTTTTATTGGATGAACAAGTCGTGCCCCTGATGGTAAGCGACACGTCTATCCATAACAGTTGCAGTGACACTCAGAGCTTTAAATCACAAAGATCTTAGGATCACTGCCACTGCGCCCGTCACTCTAAGACATAAGTTGACAAGTTCCATGTGCCTGTAATTGCACCAGCATACGGTGCATATATTTTTCCCGGGTATTCAATCAACAGATGTTTCGTATTTTTTTAAATGCAGATTTGAGATTGACTGTCTTAGTGGAGGGGGCAGATTGTTTCAGCCCAGCGTTTAGATGGCTGATATAGAAACTATTGAAGTTTTTACTCTTTTTATTTTTTCTATAAAATTGGTGTTTTGATAATACGCATTAATTTCATGGAGCCATTGACCTACAGTGGAACCAGGATATACCTGTAAACAAACCTGCATCTTTGTTTTAAATCACAGTAATTCTCATAAACACGTAATCTTGCGTTACTAAGTGACCTTGTCCACCTTGATATAGAACCAATAAAGGTATTAAACTACGCACATGTGACGTGATACTCATTGTTTGATCTGCAATTTATTATGGCCTAGATAAGTGATTGTTTAAGATCTCGCTTAGAAGACGGCGTCTGATCTTGTAGTAAATGCCATTTTACCTCGACGAATTTGGAACATTGTACCTGAGAAACCTGTTATCTTTACAAAAATCTGTTCTCATTATTTTAAACCTTTCAAGCTCTTTTTACCGACTTAAAAAAGGAGCCTTCTCTTTCTCATTTCCCATTTGACTTTACCCACTTTTCGTTAACCGATTTCAATGAAACTTTGCAAATAGATGTATTTCCATAAACTTTTGAGGTCCGTTTTTTTATTTATATAAGAAAATTATAATCATACACTTTAAAATTAATTGACAGTCACTTACATACCAGTCGCACATACATTTATATACGCGCGCACGCACGCACGCGCACACACGCACACACGCACACACACACACACGCACACACACACACACACACACACGCGCACGCACGCACGCACCCACAGACGCACCCACGCACGCACACGCACCCACACGCACCCACACGCGCACACACACACACACACACACACACACACACACACACACACACAGAGAGAGAGACACACACAAACACACACGCACACACACAGCCCCAAACGCACTAATGCTCACATTCCTGCTTGGCGGCTGAAGTAGGTAAGGTGATAAGTACTTCCCTGGACGAACTTTTTTACAGGAGCTCTACTGCTACTATAGTAGTTTATGTGACTGTTACATAATGAAAGGCATTAAAATACGAGTGTGGGTTTATGTGGAGATAAAAACATCACACGAGTTTTTTAATGCCTAATTATGTACAGTTACATACACTGCTTTATCCATACACAAATACAAGCTCTCTGTGATGTGTTCTGAAACAACAAGGAACTGGCCAATCATAATTTGCAAGTTATGATTGGCGCAATGGCGGCAAATAAAAACTTTTCTCGCGCATCTCACACATCTCACGCAACCGTAGATATTATTTAATTCATAGAGTCGTATAGTCGTAGTCGTAGTCGTATTTAAACTAGAGTCGGCCCCAACTATCATATCGTTCGTTAGCAAGTAACGTGTGAAATTTGTCAAAATATTTTTTTTCATGTCATTTCATTTTTCTGTTGTTCATATCGTCTGATATTAGAATTGAGGTCGAATGAAATTGTTTTGTTTTTCGGAGATGTTCGAAATTTAGATGTCATAATAAAATCGAATTACGAAGCAATAATAACATTTTCACAGATAAGAAATTTGTTCTATTTAGCAGTTTAGCAGGGTGTAATTTGCGGTTTTTGAACACATCATAGTGTTTATGATATGTGTGTAGATAAAATTTGTTTTTGCATTTTGTTTTGTTTATATTGTTTTGTTCTGTAAAGCTTTGTTCATAATGTTACATATATTGTATTATTTCTAGATTTTCGGCACAGAAGAAAGTTTAGCGACAGCGCTCGCCATTCTACCACAAACACTGCAATCCTGCGACGAGGTTTATAAACGTGTGAACCAGCTCTACACAGAATTCGAGTTTCATGAATTGCCGTAATAACTTTAAGTGCTACAAGTTAATAGTGACACTTTGATGTATGTATATATAGGTGTGATAAAAACTTTGTTTAAATTTTATACATTATATATAGATGTTTGTAAGTAATCTCTATTGATCACTTTTAAGACACGGTTCGCGTATTCATTTGGGCATATGATATCTCCGAAGAGACAGTACATTTACCTAAAATAATATATTATAAAGTGAACAGTAGCCCTATGAAATCACGGAATTAGTGAAGCAACAGATCCGTGCCTCTGCTTCCGCAACTTTTATAACGGAACTTTAACCGGAGGTTTATCTCTAATTTATAATAATCGCTACTTTGGCCGCGAAACAATAATACAATCATTAATCAAATGAACATGACATACCGCTACTTTATACATTAACGCAGCGTCCATCTTACATGAAAAACTTTTTGTACGTAAGAAAAATGTGGGGGCTTTATTCACGATAAACTTTCGCTTGCTCCGCTCGTCGCTGTGAACTTAGTTCATAATCGCCGTTTTCTGCAATACGCGTAAGCGCATGCGAGCACATCGTATGTTTTAACGCTTTTCAAACCCGATTCGGTCGCAGCCAGTAAACTTTTGCGTACGTTCACAAATTCAGTGGCGCCGTAAAAGCATGGTAACTCCGTACAAACATATCAAACGTGACGCGGCTTGTGCGCGACCGTAGCGCGCCGGGCGCACGCATTAGCATAATCTCGCGATGCACCTGCGTTGCGTAACACTGGTCGTCCCAACGCACCTTTCATTATTATTATGCGAATAAATGCGTCCATACACGGCGCGTGGCGGTCGCGCACGCATACAAGCCGCGCTGTTACTTTGTACGGAGTTACCATTCCTCTCTTATTTTACAGTGGTAAAAGCGCGTCAGCTGCGCGTATAAAATATATATGTCGTGTGCATATGCGTTACAACGGCTTCTTATGGCCTGTGGCTCGTTTCGCGCAAACGCGCCGTGAGAAGAGGGCCGCCCGAGCGCGCCCGTAGCAGCCTGTTCGGATCCGCCGTTAGTCGGTATCTTCAAAGACGCGGCGCGAAAGCTTGGCACATACCCGAATACGCGCTGCCACGCGAGTCGACCCAAGGCCACCCGGGAACCCGTTCATTTCGCGACCTCGCGTTTGAACGCATTCTTATAAGGCGATACAGACGTCTGCTGGTGGCGGAGCGGCGCAGTGCGACTTCGAACGCACATCTAGCAAATTTGTATAGCTTTGTACGAGCGTTTGAGTCGATACAAATGCAACAATCTACTTTTTGAGCCTATCACAGATTACTTTATAGTTTACTACGTAACAAATACGTCATTCTCATACAAAATTGAAAATACCTACGCTGTAATAGCCTATTTAATCTAACTAATGACAGCAGACGCGCTCAGAGAGGTGAAAATAACGTAGCCCGCAGTGTTCAGTGCAGTCGTGCGGAACCGAATGCGCCAAGGTTATACAAGGATTGTAATGTAAATGAAAGACTTGTCTGAGTGCTTGCACTGTCGGAAACACACTCAACGGTAGGCACTTATCGCGTAACTACGTGCGAGTGACGGAGCCCTGCCTCTACAGCGACGTGTCTTTGTCTGTCTGCGCGGAAAATACGCCGTATGCGTTGACTCTTAATGTATAAAGACAGCGATATAATTGAAATCTATGAGTGATCTAATTGCTGTTTAAAACAGTTCAAATTAGCTTCTAATTCCACCGCAAGGTAATTTTATTCTAGTGAATGTAATGTACAGAATAATCCTATTGATTATTTCATTAATTACGATTGTATTTTGACACTTATCGATAAAGTGACAACGTACCTACATTCAAGGCCTGATTTATCTGACGATACATAGAACAAATCGGTCAGTTAAAAACTGCCTTATCTACTTGCTAAACAGCCTTTTGATGTTATTTATCTTACGAGTCTATACTACCTCAAATGGCTGTAGTTGATGCCGCATAATGGTGAAAGTGGAAAAAAATATAGTAAAATTGAGGATATACGGTATGAAAACACTATTCCTAAAAATGTTTGTCATAGAAAATTTTTTTATATCATTTGAACTAAATAGAACATGTATACTATACGATATACATTTTTTAAATGGCTTTATGTTCGTTTGTAAAAAAATAAATTCTAAAATGAAGCCAGTCTCCCTGCTGCTCGACCCAAGCAAAATGAACCGTATTGGTACGGGATAAATTTGAATTCTAGTTAAGGTAGTATAGACTCTTTAAGCATAGAAATTATTTAGTATAATCATTGACTTACAAATAAATGGACGACGGGTCTAATACAAAAACCACGAAAAAAATGTCCCAAGTCAACCTATTTAAACGTAAAGGAATATGAAAAAGCTAAAACGTTAAATTTAAATTGTAATGTCATCGCAGTACTGTCTAATTTTGCTTGCTTCGCTGTCAGTCGAACAAACGAAGACTAAAGCGTGAATGACGCTCTGTATACGATTTTAACGCCCTATAAGTTCGGACACTTTTTAGCGCGGACCCGACGTCCATATAATTGTAAGTCAATGAGTATAATACATTTTTTTTTATAAGTTAACTATTTTGAGATTAATAGCTTATTAATTTTCCAACATTTAATGTTCTAAGTGAAGTGATAGTTTTTCTTATACTAAGTAGATAATGATTCTTATTGTATATTGTTTTAAGATTGTATTTTTTATTACGTAAAATATCAATCGAGTAAGATATAGTAACATCGACTTTATACGTTATCTTATGAATTATTTTTTATCAAGTAATTACCTTTATCGTTAGATTATTGTCTGCTACAAGTGGATAATAAGTGACGGGACGAACAGTTGTCCATAACAGTTGCAGTGCCACTCAGAGCTTTAAATCGCAAAGATCTTAGGATCTCTGCCGCTGCGCCCGTCACCCTGACACATAAGTTGACAAGTCCCATGTGCCAGTAATTTCACCAGCACTCTTACCCTTCCAAACCGGAATGCGGTAATGATCACATTACTGCTCGGTGGCAGACATAGGTAAGGTGGCAGTATTTCCCTAGATGAACTTTTTTACAAAAACCTCTACTGCTACTCCTCGTATAACTTAACTGCCATTAAAAAAGACATAGAATATGTAATAAAGGTATAAATAAACAAAATTATTATCAAAGCGATAGCAACTGTAGTAGTCAAGTAGTCTAATAACCCTTATCTTTGGATAATACGTTGGATGATACGTTGCAAATATTGTTTTCATAATTTTCTTTCATTTTTTTTTTCAATGCTTCAGGCCCAAGCAATTCTGCTTATAGTTTTGTATGAATAACGTATTTTTCTAGATAACCTATGGTCAGCTCTAAATTTAAATGCGGTATTTTCATTAAAATGTGTTTCTAGACATTTATGTGATCATAGGAATATGACCTTAGGAGGATTAGGTCCTATTTACCCCGTTGGACTGTATGTATTTGGAATTCGCTCTCAATACTTAACACATTTTTAACAATTTTAACACACTGAAAAAATGATATACGTCTTGCCAATAGTTTTAAGTAGCTATCAATTTCGAATAGAGATAAAAAAATCATCATTATGTTTATTTTTCAAAGTTATCTAGATGTACAATATTTTTATTAAGTATTGTACGTATTTATCTGTACAATGCGCAAATTGTGCTACGTTTTAGTTTGTAAATATTGCAGTAAGTCGCGTTTCTTTTCACTTCCTGATTACAACTCGTTCATTCGTACAGCAGGCTCTTAGACATTGCGTTTATGCATGCCGCAGTATAAAACCTGCTTGTACGAACGTCGTCGGTTAGGGATAGTCGGCAGGCAACTGTAAAATGTGTTTTTTTTTTACTTTATTTGGGTCGTCAAACAATAGACACAATTCAAACTTTTTTTTACAGTAAATATGTAATGATGGTGTCACCAACACCATGAACCACTAATTATTACAAAAAGCTGAGAAGTGGTGATGCATTTCAGTAATAAACAATTGAACAAAAGTAATAATTAATAAATAGTTATGTACAATTACTGTCGGGTAATTTTCGAAAAATAAATCAAATAGTGGTTTTTTTCCGGAAAAATTTTTGAAAAATTGGAAAAATATAATTCGAACGCTCATAGTATTGTTCGTTCTACATTCAGATATATATTTTTTTAAGTTTATATTTAAAAGCAAGTTAGAGATCGAGATTTAAAATAATTGGACAACAACGGAAAAAAGGACTCGTATGTAAAAAAATCTTTATAATGGCTCCTTCGTTTTCGTTCAGAATCTTTTTACAGGTTATTCGGATTTTTTAAATTTCGGAAAAATTGCATTTTCAAATTTTTCCATGTTCCAACACTATTTGCACAAACTAATAAAACGATGCATTATATTTGCTCCCTGTATGTACGTTTGGTGAAATTACAGGCACATGGAATTTATCAACTTTATGTTTCAGGGTTAAGGGCGCAGTGGCACTGCAACTGTTATAGACAGTCGTGTCGCTTACCACCAGACGCACGACTTGTTTGTCCCGTCACCGTTATGAAAAAAAATCATTCTTTTTTTTTGAAAAATATGGAATGCCATGTCTAAGATCTTGTTTGCTCTATTGTTGAAGTATTGAATTTGCCATCAGAAAGTGGCACGAAACCCTTTGCATTTCCCATGCAGTGTGAGTTTTGCAACTGATTTGATCATACTAGCATAGGTGCAATATGTATGTGTATGTTTGATATAGTAATAGTGTTCTCCTTTTAACCCTCAAGTGATTGGAAAAGGACATCACTATGCAAATAAAATTGTTGCGTGTTCGTATTTATACCTTAATTAGATCTCATGCCTAGTACATAAATGTTTATAGTTTGAAACTCAATTATATATGTATATCGATGGCTTACTTGAATAGGGCCCTTTGTCAAAGACACTTATCAGAAATATGGTTAAAAAAAAACTAAAACCTATACCGGTCTAATGCTGTCAAGCGATTATTTTAACCAACTTAGGAGAGCAGCTTCAGCCGCTCAGAAAAAAACTTTATGTCCTTGTAATAAGACCACTTCCAACGCGAAACCACATCTTTTTCGCTCTTATTCCGTGTCGATATATGTGAGACTTTCATATTCACAATCAAATTTAGAACATTCTGAATACAGATGTGTAATAAAATTAGTCAAAAACGAAATATTTTGATTTGGGCCACAGTTCGTGACAAGCAACGATATAAATCTATTAAGCACTTATAAGTGCATACTAACCCTCTCATTAACAGTCGTAACTGGCATTAAGTATTTATCTAGGCGATTTCGTACTTCATTATAAATAAATTATATTCGTATATGAAAAGGCAAACCTACGACGATTACTGAGAATGCGAAGTTCGTACGTCTTACTTAGTTACGACAAAAAATTCAGATACGACATTTAATGATGAAAGACACTATATCAAAAATTCCATATTTTTTAATTTTTTATTAATGTATCTAGCCTATGTGAGGCCTACTGTGCACCCTAAAACAGCATAATTGGGGGACCAAAAAAAGCCGGTCGATTTATGATTTCAATCTACTTGTAAAATGCATTGACCAATAAGGTCCGATATTTTTTAACTGCTTTCAAATTTGATTTTATTAGTGTGATGTCGTAGGTTTATAACAATGAAAAGCAACAATACGCTGCAGGTCCAATGTTGGTTTGTTTTACTTTAATTTAGGTATTATATTTTGTTACGGTCGTATTAATAGAAGATTTATTATTTAAATACATTTTCTTAGCAATTTGTTTAGGTCCACAGAGACAGCTAGCTTTAGTTCGGCACTGGGGGTAATTGGGAACGCGTATTGCAAAAATTAGAATTTTGTTTTTAGATTTATTTGGCCCGTATCCAATTAACCCCGTTGACAATTGTCCCACTGCCCTACATAATAGATATTACAACAAAAATAAAGAAATACTCGCTTCTAATAAAAGTTAAGAAGGCTAACTCTTATTAGAATAATTAATATTAATAATTAATTAATTAATTTTTAATATTAATTTAAAAAAGCTTAATTTGTATTAAGCTGTACAGAATGTTACCTTTGTAAACTGCAATTTCAACGCTTTGCTTAGCGCCATAAAGTACAATTGTCAACAAAGAATTTTAGTCACGTTTGTATATTTTTACTTATGGCCCACCTACCAAAACTAAGGTACTAGTGTAAATTAACCTCGCACTATAAACAACATGTTAGTATTGGAAGCTCAAACGTGGAACTTTTTGACATACCTGTTGAAAATTTTGACGCTGAATAATTGGTTATGTAAGCTAACAAGTTAAAATTGAACCCTCTATTTATAGCAGCTGTTTTGTTAACTGACAGCATAAAATATAGTAGTAAGTCAATACAATCATCCCAGGTTCAAAAGTAACTTGTGAGCGTTTACTTATTTTTGAAAACTGTTGTAAAGTTATAAATCTTGAGCT